TTTATTACTTTGTTAATGATCGAATATAATCTATTAAAAATTTTATGCTTGTTTCAACGGAATAACTGTAAACAATGCACATACATACATAAACTTCTACAGTTTAAATTCATGATTATTCATGACTTCATAGATCTCACTATTAATTAATTTTTATAGAGCAACCAGAGGAAATCTGACTACATTAAAGTTGAAAATATGATTCGAATTATTTATATAAAATAGATTAATATTATATACATATGATGAATTCCAGAAGGATGCTACATAAAATCGTCTATGTGGGCGTCTATAATTCTTCTAGTTCTCCTACAAACCTACAAGCTTACTATATTATAATCTATAGGTAGGTAGGTATATAGTTCCATATCAAGGATGAAAGAGGAGAGTGATATTCCAATGCAGGAAACATAACACCTTAGTTATCAGGAATGGCAGCGCATTATTATACATAACGACGTGGAGTCCATGATGTTGTTGATAATAATATACATGACAGTTATCACTTTCCATTATTTATTACCAGTTATAAAAAAACTTGACCGTTACTTCTTGATTTGTACAAATTCATTTGTCGCTGTACTGGTCGTACATATTTCATTTGTATATATCTAACTAGCTACCGGGCCGGTAGCTAGTTAGATATATACGGCTTCGTACACCCGTGCGGTATACATATATACATATATAGATATACATACATATATTTAAATCTTTATCTTGAATCACTGTATCTGTTGCTGAATATTGGATTAAAATCCATTACGCAGTTTAAAAGATTTAAGCGGACAGATAGTGGAAGCGACTTCAATTTAGAGTATGTAAAGAAAATATCATACATTACACAAGAACATACCATTTCACAAAACAAAATATTCATAGTAAACGATCTAAGCGCTAGTTTTATGTTTGACATCACTTGTACTATTAATATTATTCGTTATGACGTATCGTTGTTTCGTCACCCCACTCTTTCTATTTTATGTTGAAATCCAATCTTTATGAAAGTCTTACGATCGTAATAAAGAAGCGTTCACACTTGATTGAAGCGGTCCGGGTAAATCCCGGGTCGCACCTCACGCGGCCAGCGGCATGGCACTAACTTGGCGAATGATGACCGGATCATATAGCGATCCCATTCAATTCACTATAATCAATTGTTTGCTTATAAGATTTAAGGATTTAGAATTTCTAATAGTGGTCATCTCTTTTTCTAAAAAGGTATATAAATTGAGTCTACATGCTTCCTGTGTTGTAACTTTAAAGTTATTTTATTGCAAACATTTTTAAATTATAAATAACATAAGTTAAATAGTGAAGATGCCCAATAAAAATACGAATGACTAAACAGAAAATTTATAAAAATAATGTAAGGAGATCTAAACTATATTTTTATAATTTTTCGGTTTAGCCATCTGTGTTTTTATTGGACGTCATCTAAAAACTACTGTACTCTACTAAATATTAAAGAATTTAGCAACTCTCAAACTTTTACAATATAAATTGTATGTTAAAACGCCATAATTAAAAAAAATATATAGTGTAGAAAATTTAAAAAGTATGCATAATATTTTGTTCTTATTTATACTTATTTTTTATGGATGATAACCACCCTCCTGCGCTAACAGTTTACGAAGTTAACCTGGCATGATAAATGGTTTCCACCGCGTGGAGGTTAACCTGGCATGATAAATTACTAGCAATGCAGTTATTAGTCCCCATTACTAACTACCCCCTTCCCCCTATACTTATTAAAATATTATTTGAGCTAAATAATATCAGTGAAAAATTCGAAAATGAATCTAATGCGCCGTGATATTTGTCTAGAGCGGGGTCAACGAGATAAGCGCGAGAGAATCCGAGATTGATTCCAGGATCAAGCGAATAGTGACCGCTCAAGTGTGGACGATCCTTTACTCACGAACCACTGCGCTCTATGAGTGCGTCCTTATAGGATTTGTGAGTTTGCTCATGGACACTTTTAAAAGATAGTTTATTATGTTGATCTACTAGTATTTTTTATGTAATGCAAACATGCTGATGGCCCACTGATGGTAAATGATAATCGACGCCTTCGTATAGTCGAATACCTATACGAAGATATGTATTACTCCTTCTCTAAATTAATATATTATTATTAAATAATAATAAGAACATATTTTGTATGGTAGGTATGCACTGTTATTTTATATTTTTAAAGTATATAAACGACTTTGAATGACAGTATATTCGCCAAAATCCCAATGTGTTTTATGATTATTATGAAGAAAACACACAGACTGTCTTATTAGTCTCATAACAGTTATATCATGATTTATGTCAAGTTATTTTCCTGTAATCTATAATCGTCTTAAAAATTGTAATTGAAAATTAACTACCTATATTCTGAAAATTTCACGTAGGTATGTTATTAATTTACACCCAGTAGACATAGAATACCTACATACAAACATAGAATAGTACATGTCCATCCTTGGGTAATAAGTATGCTTCCTTGTACTGTGGAAACCAGAAGCGATTGAACAATAGATTGTTTTAGCTTTCTCAAGCTTTACAGCACCAACAGCAACGCGAGGCTTCTTCGACGACAATTACATTCATATTAACGTGCGATTCGCAGAACCTACTTTTCAGCACAGAATTGTAAATATACAATATATCAGCACATACACTTGATATATGTAATGTATCATAATTTCACAATAGTAAGCACCTATCAAATTACGAGTACCTTAAATTTGAGAATTGTATTTCCTTGACTGCCCGGGTAGTGGACACATCACTTTTCGATGGTTTAATCATATATGTATGACCCTCCCTCGTGGTATCATGCATAGTGATTTCGTGTTCTTCTCCTGTTTTCTACTCCAAAACTGTACGAATTTTAATGATTTCTCAGAGAAAATATATTTTCGATATTTTCATTTAACAATTTTGTTCGGAAATGTCTGACTACGATGGTTATTTTTTAAATATTTAACATAAATAAAGCAATATATAAGAACATAATAAATGGACATTTCATAAAAAAGAAATATTTACTCTACATTAGGTAGAGCCATCATCCTAGGACAAAATAATGAAATGGAAGACGCGTCGCCCGAGATTCCTCTCTGTCTTTCTCAAGCAATAATATTTTTTTTCATTAACTTGAATTAAGTATATCACCTACATATTACCTATCTACTTAATTCAGTCATATTATTTATGGTTCAGATTAAGATACCATCTAACATTGTACAAAATATTGTACATAGCCTTGGTACGTGTGGTACAAACAGGGCGAAACTTATAAGTATGCAAAAGTTCTTACTCGAACATTGCGGAATACCGTGCATAGTCGTAATTTAGCGAGGTGCGAAGTTCCATCACATCGGGGGGTACGGAACACGCATTCCCCCATGGCAGTAAAACCCGTCGGCAAGTGTAAGCGAATATTCCTGTGTTGCCAGCTGCAATAAATCGCGTAGAGTGATGGTGCGTTTTTTGTCGCGCGACATTTTTTCCCGCGCTAGCTGCAAATATATCACTGCCGCCGGCCGGCCCGTGACTTATGCTCCACTGTCTCAAAAATCGCTTGTTGCAAATACCGCGCCGTTTCTCCTTGTATGGTTTATACCTACTTAAATATCGTATTGTGGAATATACGCAAGAATCTATAACCTCGGAATGAATTTACAACGATGACAAAAACTTTGAAGCAAACATCTCGCTGTCCATCGAACCGTATGATTGTATAAACATAGAAATCTCCGTGGCACTTAAAAAGATCAGTTGCACACAATTGTGTAGAATCTACCAACAATGTCACCCTCAAATCGGAGCGGGATGTAACCGCAAATAAAACCAGCTTATTAAGCGGGGCCTATCGTCGCGGGACGGAGACCATTTTATACGTACTTTTATCCAATGTCCATTCTTCTGAAATGCGATTAAAATTGAATAGCTCCATATGTCGCAGGCAGCGGCCCCGTTGCGTCACAATCTCACGGGCGGCTGCATTTTCAATTTGCCGCGAGATAAACGCGACTTTTGGACGACTTTTTCTGTAGGACGCGCAGAATTGATCCGGTGACTTATGGTGGACGGTCTATAAGACGGGGTAATTGGATGGTCAATTGATTCTTCTAATTCAAGGGCAGTTGCTGTGAATGATTTCGGAAATTTTATATCGAATATTTGTTTTAGAGATCATCTCTTAAAAATACTCACCTCTAAATCGTACAAATCTGATATTGAAATAACCTTTTTTACTACCTGCATATGAATATAAATACGGTTCATACACCAAAATAACATTTTTACAATTTTTGTCTGTCTGTCTGTTTGTTACGGCTAATCTCTGAAATGGCAGGACCGATTTTGACGGGAATTATATTGGTAGGTAGCTGATGTAATAAAGAGTAAATTAGGCTACTTTTATTTTAGAAAAATGAAGTTAAATTCCACGCGGATGAAGTCGTGTGTACAGCTAGTAGGTAATATAATTATGATTTACCAATTATTGCACGCAACTTTGTCTGCGTGCCCGAAGTATAAAATATATATCTTATATAAATTCTCCATCCCATATACCTTGTTTGCTTACGTCGTATCTTTTTCTTTGTTTTTATTGTACCTATACAATAAAGTATTACACAAGTTACGTGTACGTTAAAGTTCATGACAGTTGGTCGAGCCAGTATTAATTCGACAAACAAACATACTTTCACATTTGTATTACGCATATATAGAATTTAATAAGACGAAAGAAAAGAGAGTAAAAAATGGACAAATCTATATTTGTGTTAGTTTTTTTATGAATTTAAAATGGCAAATAATGTTGTAAAATACTGATAAACAAACTTTGCAACTTTGTAATATTTGCATATATTAAAAAAGTTATAATTTAGTCCTTTATCTATTGCCATTTATTTTCTGTGTAGATATGTATGCTGCCATGCATATTTGATTAGCCGTGGGGTCTTATGTAAATTAAAATAATGTAATTTTAATATCAATATTGATAATTTATTCACAATTTCATTTAAAATACACAACTTCACAAATGTTTTGTTTTAAAAACTAAAAACTTTAGGTACGGGATATCGTTATAGGCGTTCTGTAGTGATCACTAATTTACATATTATTTCGATAATCTTATAAAACTGTACACACACGACACTAAAACCAGGGACAATATTAGAGTAGTGGTGGGTAGCGCTTTGAATCGCTTCCTAAATCGTCTCGTGTGTAGCGAAATCGGGCCGATCTTATATCATCTCAGTGTGCCCGCCGAGTCCGATTTTGCCCAAAAAAAAACTGCTCATATATTGCCCTTGATTTCTGAGTCGAATGTCGTTTTATGATTCTCTATTAGTGTCTACAAATTTCATTTACATTTCATATTTACATTTTGGGGTTCCGAGATTATGTATGAAAATACCAGTGAACTGTTTGTCAATGTCTAGGCTTACATACATCTATTTAAGATTGATTGTTCTACAGTCACTTTACAAACTGACAAAATCTCGCAAATTATGGCCACTCGTCTTACTTTTACAACGGTATGTTTTACAAATGCTCGTTTAATAACAAAAAAAACTATATTTTAGTTAGATAATACTGACGATACAATCCAAATCAGTGACCAGTTTCACCAATAAAAAAAAATGTTCATTAGTACCTTGCGAACCTTGATATCCAAAACAAATCAGTTCTGCTTTATGTCACTATGTAAGATAGCTATTATGTACAATTCGCATGAATTTATAACTATTAATACATAAATTACTATTGCATTTCATTCAATACCAACTACACAAATAAAATGTACATAAAGAAAAAAAATATCTCTGGAAATAATTCTCTGAACACATCACAATTCCTATAGCGAACCGAACAGTTCAAAATTAAATACAAAAATTCAAATAATATACAGGAACGGAGTATAACTTAGGTATTACAGATATGTACAAAATACACAGATTATCCTTTGAACTAAGTATACTTATTTATCGTATAAGCCGACTTCGACCTTAAATTATATTATAATACTGTACAATTTCGCTAGTTACTTCATGTAAACACACTTAATACTTTTAAAGGACTGATTAACAAAGTCTTCACTGGGTTTGACTGCTACAATAGCATCGACTTAGAAAACGTTCTATGCGAAGTGTTTGCAGATATAAAACTTACAAACATCAATTCAGTTCAACAGTCTTATAAATTGTGTGTCATTAGTGTTGATATATTTTATATAAGTCACTACTAGTGTTTTGTCTTGTAGTATTTAATCACAGCGTCCAAGTATCAGTGATCACTGATACCCGTATCAAAGGTCAATACATCCGTCCACAGACGGTTGTGTGTATGGAACGACTATATCTAGGTAAATCCAATTGGAGTGATTGAATTTGATAGACTTATCACGTGTATTCACTCCTCCAGCCAGTCTGAAAAGAATAAACACATTTGTTAGTAACAGAATTTAGCATTATTAACAGTTTAGTAAATTTTTTATTGATAAAAAAAGTTCTGAACATAGTACATAGTCACACACTAAGACGTAGTACGTACGAGTACGTTCTGGACAACTATCCTTACTATGACAACCAAGCTAAGGCTGTACAGTTTGTGACTACAGCATAGCATATAGCATAATTCGTTATGACCAGGACTGTCATTTCATTTTCCGTCCATACAAATATCACAAGTAACAAAGATTGACCATTACCTTTTCTCCAATAAATGCCTAAGCTAACAAAACTTAATAAAATTTGACGAGACGAAGTTTAATATATTGTATTTTTTTATCTCAAACTACAGGCGGATAACACAACTGGTAAAAAATAACTTTGAAACCCATGAATTGGTGGTGAAAATGTGAAATATATTTACCATAGAATTAAGTTGCGCGAGGTGATGGTGATGGTAGGGATTGTGTGACGTCGGAGGTGGTGCAAAGCCCTGGTGCGGCGCCCCGTACCAGTGTGACATATGTGCCGCCGCTGGGTGCACCAAACCAACTTGATGTTGACCTGTAAAGACAAATCTAATAAGATTTCGTTGCACAACAGAAACTACTATACTTCATACAGATATATACACTATACTTTATTTATAATATAATAATAATAATGCTTTATTTGTACAACCACAAGATTACAAAATTAAAAAGGAGGGTACATGATAGTTGAAGTTCATTAGTTAGGTAATCCATGGCAGAATATTTATAATCTACAGTAAAGAAAAGATGTAAACAATACGTTAATGAATTCATGTATAGTTACAAAGAGAGGGTTTAAAACTTAACTAGTTTTAAACCCTTTAAAAAGTGAAGCTAAATCATAAGAAAGCTGCGAACAAATTTGCCGATCCCAGTCGCAAATTATTACTTGCCGGTCTACAGCGTACATTTAATTACAATTTTATTGCTCTTCCACATTTAATATGTCTTATTATTGACGTGTGATACTAATAAAATATTTTTTATTACTTACCGAAATCCATAGCAGAAGGAAAAGCAGAACCTCCGAAGCCTTTGGTTCCGTCTCCTAAGGGTTTGATCATGTCTCCCATGACTCCGCCCAGTGCCAACGCACAAGCCCCTCCGCCACCCATGCCCATTCCTCCCTTCTTCTTCTTACTTTTACTGCTTAATTTCCGATTCCTCGTTTGGATACCTTCTTTCTTCATCGTTAGTGGCCGGTTTACCTGCAGACAAGAGAAATTTCATGTTACTTTCATGTACTGAAGTTATTCTTATTTACATATATCTTTATGTTCTTGTATAATCATAGTTAATAATAAGAGCTACTGATTGGTATAGTATATATCTACCATTTTAAATACATTTTATAATAGGGAAAAAGAATAAAATAGTAGATTTCATGTGTATACTATATACACATGAGTAACTAATAAAATTATAATTTCCTTAAAACTGTATGTTAAACATTTCACCGTAACATTCTCGCAATAATTGAAACGTAATCCCGTCCTCGTTTAATACATGTAAGTGTCTTGTGAATCATACAACTTTTCCGCCAGTCATGTTCCATTTTATTGCTCTGACATGACATTTAGTTGCATAAAAAAAAACGTCAGCGGCACCAATTTAGAATGCTAACTAGGGACAATAAAGGCGAGCCGAAACCATAAACCGGCTACAATAGTTGTGTGCGAATATTTAGTTGTTTGGTTACCGACGCCGACATGTGGGTGACTCGCGGTGCATCCTAATTAGTGCAGCGATGCACTTTGCAAGCTTGCGAACGTTTGGTGGGAATCGATGCTGACGTATCTACATGAGGTTAAGGTCCCCAAGTTAATGGATCACTATATTACAACGTTTGAACAGCAATGCGACCTTACACGTATACGCCATTTATCATATGCCCTAGAGTATGATGGGCTTTGAATGTTAAGTAGTTAAGTAGACTTTATACAAAGTCGACTGTGTGGATTGCGAGAGAGATGGCTTGGTAATATGTGTTTCGATTGAAGTACTACCATATCTCAGGTAGTAAAATTTTAGGGTACAGGGACATAGTACTTTAGTCCTTAGACACCTGAGAAGCTCCACAAATGCCACATAATGACTTAAAATTATACCGAGGTAATTATGTGTCTATTAAATCCCAAGTGGACGAAATCAGTCATTACCAAGCTCATCTGAGTGTTCGGCAATATGCTTTTTAAACTTTCGTTAAATTCTCGGGTCAAACATCTCGGTCAGTTACTGGCGTCGCGTCGTGGTGTTACCAAGAAACATGCGTCACGACGGACGGACGGACGGACAATGAGTTATTCATCGCCTTCCATGGAAGTTGGTGTTGGCATATGGGCACTATATGCACGATTGCATTGCCCGCCGCTCCAGCACCAGTAACCAAAAGCATGACCTGGTTATTGCTTGTATTTGGACATTCATAATGCATTTTTTTTATCTTTTAATTATTTTCGGACTATTATCATAAAATGATAAGACCAGTTCTATCAAAAGATACAGTTTAATGAACAATATTTTGTATCATACGGTATTGCTTTAAATTTTGTCTAAATGTACAGTAATGTACACTAGGTAACTTTTGTAATGCTTTATAAGTAAAGCGGGTTTTATTTCACTTTTCACACTTGACTTATTTAAATAAGTAATGATAAAAAAGGAACATATTCAACGTTTTATGAAGAACTTAATTTGTGATGCTTAGTATCCATTAAGACGTTATCTTGTAACTTTTTAAGTCTTTGTGCTAAACATACTACCACATTCTACGATTTCAACATATTGATCCGTATTACATGACTCCCCCTATTTCTTGTCACAACTAGTCACATATTGCAAATATTACATCAATAAATTATTAAATCTAATAACATTACATTTCTAACAATAAATTATTTAAATTTCAATATATTGACTTCATGAAACTTATCAGTCCTTCCCACACAATGTCACAATTTTCCAACCCTCTTACCTCCCATAATGTATGACATAATAATATACAGAGGAATGTGTTTCGAGTTTAGAGAATAAAGTAGATGTGATAAGAAACAAGTAGGTTCAAAGTGCACTCCAATTTTCTACAACACTATTAAAGTACTTTAATGCATTGTTCTTAGTGCGTGCCAATTCGTCGTCCTCTAATACGGTACCGCGAATCGCCCACACGCACCACATACCGCATACCGCGCCGTCGCCCCACCAATTTAACCAATATAAAATACATTAACATTTGCGCAGATGCGGCGGATTTAGCCGTATCAGAATATGGGTCAATGAAAAGCCTGTACTTGCTAACTTGCAAAATAGCCCTTAAAGGGCTAAAGTTTATGGGATATTTGACGTTCCGACTTCGCGCCGGTGTGCCGGTGTACTGAACGTGAATATGTTTCGTTTTTCCGTACGAATTTAGCCATATAAATAAAATAGGTCTTCTACAAATAACTAGTATTATTATTATTATTACAAGAGTCAGTGATAACCTAAACATACTTGTTACCTACCAATATTTTATTTAAGCACTTTCAATCGCATTTTTCAGATTTACTTTTATATAAGTTTATGGGAAGAAGAATGATAAACCAAAGTCTGAAATTGTGATCTGCAATCGCAGGTGTCCATGAAAAGACACCCCATTTCACTAAGTTGTGACTCAAGATAAATGCAGTAAAAAATATCGCTTTACCTATAGGTACCAATATTATAAAGAGGTAAAGTTTTAGTAATGATTTTGTGAGCTTGTGAAGTTGAAATCTTGGGATTTACTGAATTTATTTAAAAAAAATTTTGGTACTAATATAAAGCCACGTTATTTGTATATGTTATAGGTTACAAAACATCACGTTACGACCTATAGGAGCGGAGCTGCACTGAGAATGTCACAAAAATGGGGAAAATGCGACGCAGACAAATTTCTGCGAGTGTGCTAGTATTATTTAAAATGTCATAATTTAAATAAATAAGCATATTGTTTGCGATGCTTAATATTCAGTTCGCATAGAAAACAGTTCCTTATTAAGACCATGTTGTTATGAACATAACAATATCCACATTAAGTAGGTATAAGATCCCTGCTTTTGTATATAGGTACTACAAATATATTATATACAGAGACATGTTAGTGCTGAAATTGCTTAATAACTGACCATTGTGCCAGGTTAATTACTCTGGGCGCTGTTCCCATTCTATATAATCATTATATTCTGATGTCCATACCTGTATATTGTATAAACCGTGCCTTACTTACATATATACAGAAATTATTTAGGAACACATTTTACCCATAAATTCTAAACTTGCAATTATCGTTCATTTTGCATAAAATTTTTACTTCATTTTAAAGAAAAATAATATATATTTTTAACTAAATTCTGCCTGTGTTAATTCTATTTATGTATTTGTATAAAATGTTATATATTCTTTGTATATTTGATGGTTATATGGATTCACAGAAGTAAAAATAACTCTAATGAAAGTAAAATACTATATATATACTATGTAATATTATGTTATCTGTGATATATACCTACTAATTAATGAAAGTAAGTAACATAAGTAGTTTCTCCTACGCTCTACAATTTTTTTTGTTACTTTAAGTATGTCTAAAAATCGTTTTTTTTTCTGTTAGTAATATGATAAGAGTAAGTTATAATAAGTATAAATATTTTTAAATTATCGCTTAATTCTTTTCGTATTTATTTCATCTTATGTTTATGTATATTTTTGTCTTTCTCTCTCCCTCTTGAATATTGAAATAAACTATGGTTATAAAAATATTTTAGTATAGCATAGCATATAGTAGATTTTAGTATAACATATAGTTAAAATTATTGTTATTAAAAAGTTGCTTCGAAGTCTATAAAAAATAAAAGAGACGAAACAATAGAGAATTTAGTACAAAGCTTTGTTAGTACGAATTCTAATTTAATTCAGCTACGTATATGACTGAAAGTTGTGTAGTTCCGCTACAGCGAACAGTCATAATTAGCAACAGAATTACAGCGGCCTTCCACCAATGAATCCGGACTCCATATGCGGGCCTCGCATGCAACATTCCAATACAATGTACCATGTACATGGTACTCTCGCTGACATTAACAACCTATACAACAATATAATGATATTAATTTTATTTATTCAGTAACAATTTACATTGTGTTTGAAATTATAAAATTTTTGTTGCTAAGAAATTCACCAACACTATAAAAAGACTGTTCCAACAGAAAAGAACGCAACCTGCCCTTAAAAAGCTTCCAATTATGTATTGTCTTTAAATTATTGGACAAAGAGTTATATAGTTAAGGCCTTACTGCTTGGAAACCTTAGAAATATTCAGTTTTATCATTGATGCTAACTACAGATACTTCTGTTGCTTAGTTTCATAAAATGCATACTAATGTTGACTTTTTATACCCGTTACTTTCATTTAAAATATTTGTAGGTATATAGGTAAATTCTGCTTAGAAATATGTTGCCAACTGTACCGCTAGTCCTTCAACTAGAGTACGTGACGCGAGGTACCGGCACGTTCACGTAAAACAACGAACAGTGGACCCACGCTACATAAACTAACGTTATTGCCGTCGCTTGTAAAACCAGTAACTAACTCCACTTCCACGGACGCATGTAGTTTAAACTATACAATGTACACATCGTACGACAGGCGACTGTCCTCTTATTTTTTATATATTTGCGACCCTCGTGCTTTGCATGAGTATTTCAACCCATTCACACAAAACCGTAACAAATTATACACATAAATCTAACTCAGTAACCACTCTGTTCATGAATCTCTCTCTCACTCTTTCTGTTAATGAATTTGGTAAACCGTATTAATATCCTTACAGTAGTTTTTAAGATTATATAACTAATATGTGTTATAATAAATCGAATCCCTATTTCCCTTGGTAACACTAAACTTGAGAATGACTAAACCAATTTCATTCATCTTTATTATTTAACCTCCAAGACAGAATAATCTAGTATCTATTATATTCCCTATATAATAAAACTAAAAATGTTGTAAACCTCAATATTATAAATACAATTCTATAAAATATTGCACAGACAAATACTATTATTCAGCTTATAAGCCATACAAACTATAAGATTACCAATTTCTTACCCACCTGCATTTTTGCACATATGCATACATGTACCTCTTATTCACCCCTTTTCATAACTCGCGTATTCATTGCATTTCTCTAGC